GAAGAAAAATTACAATGACACTGAATTATTATACTATGACATTGCATAAATGAATTATATTCTGTCATGACATGGTCACAATACACGTGATATCACTTGCCCTTCCTCCTCCTCCCTTCAGGTACCCATATATTAGAGACACCAGACTAGGCAAGATTGCTCTAATATTTATTCACAAATTTTACTGCTCCTCATTTAAACAGGGGAAATGTATGCAAGGACATTAGCATCTCTATGTGCATTTCCAGCTACTTTCAGAGCCTTTCATATATGTAATATGCACATTTCTTCTCTCTGATCTAGATGATAGGACTGTATAAAGTCTTCTTAATGCTGAACGATCTGTTACTACAAACTATGTAAAAGGATTTCCTAATTTGTAGTGTTGTAGCAGTCCAAATTTAAATGGACTTGTATTGCTGGTGTTTAACTTCCCATAATGCCTCCTCCCCAGTCTAAAAATGTACCCAATTAGGAGAAAATACTGGTATTTCTTTTCTCTCACAGCTAATGAATGGTTTCAGGGGATGGGTATTAAGTTGAGGAAAGTGCAGCACAAGAAGCAGTAAATACATCTTCCAGAGCTTTGCCACTACAAATTCAGAATCATTAGAGTCAGGGGTGAAAACCCATCATCCAAGAAGTTCATTCAACCCTCAATCTAATTTCAAAAGTGCTCTGCAAGCACGCAGTTCAAAATTCTGGCAAGAATAGACTCCCTTCTTGAGAGTGCTGAATAGGGAGAAAGAATAAGTCTTCAAGCCTATTCAAAATTCTCTTTGAATTCTCTCCTTGTACCCAAGGGAGCAATGACATTTTGAGTTTCAATTCTCCCCAATAACAACATCCATCCTGCAGGCAGGATCTAACTCATAGACCACTGCTATAGCTGTTTATCTAGAAGTGTGCTCCAATGAACTCAGTGGGATTTAATTCTACCTAGAATTTCTACCACTTATGAAGTGCATATACTTACAATGTACCAGCTTTACTCAAAAATAAATGTGGGGCAAATTAAAAAAAAACTACTGACATAGTTTAAGTGGCAGACTGTAAAATACAATGCATCCTTTAAATATGGCTAATGTAAAGGAAAATGCAATTAAAAACAATGGTTGGCTTTCTAAATCATCCATCTGTCCTGTAAAAAAAACTAAGTAATCTGTATGCTGTGCTAAGAATGCTTCAACCACTGAACCATTGTAAAGTGTGGAGAATTTTACAAAGCACAGCAGTTCAGGCATACTAACAAGAGCATCCGTTTTTTATATCAAACGTTTTGTGCTGTGTTTTTCTTACTCTTCTCTTTGAAACTGCCAGAGTCTCAAAGATGACATTCAGAAATTCTATGACACAGAGCTCAATAAAATAAAAATAATTACAAATTAATCCAGATTCCTGCTGTGAGAACAGACAGAAAAGCATTTATTTGGTTAGCTGGAATGTAATGCAGCTTTCAAGGAAATTGACCCTTTAAACCCCAATCCAATGTTCATTTATCTGGAATGTGTCTTTTAGCAAAAACAGATACGTAATAACATGTAATAATCTATAAATTTTTATTGAATATTTATTACAAAGTTAAAAAAGATAAATATGAAAAAATATAGAAAAAATAGGAAAGATAAAGAAAAAAATGTTGAAAACAGAAAGTGAAGCAGAAGAAAAAAACTTAAAGTGACTTCTGATCTTCTTTACAGCAGTTATAAACATACTTGATACCATTCCCTTCAAAATTACATAATGTAGATCCCTTCTCCCCATTTACAACCCTTTTTAATCAGTAAATCCAGAAATCACCAGTTCCTTTTTATCCATTTTCAGCAAAAAGTCCATAAAGGGTTTCCAGACTTTTATATATAACATGTAATAATCTAAAGATTACCCTCTGTACTATACCAAGGGATAGTGTGATGCCAATTTTTAAAAGGGGACAAATAAAAGTTCCAGAACATTAGTGACCAATTAGGTCAGTATGTTAAGAGTATATGGGTAGAAAACATTTTGCTTAGATGTTATGATTATGTGCCACCAAGTCATTGTCGACTCTTAGCAACCACGTAGATAGATTTTCTCCATGACAATCTGTCCCTAACTTGGTCTTTCAGGTCTCCCAAAGGTACACCCACCACCACTGTAACTGAGTCCATCCACTTTGTTGCTGGTCATCCTCTTTTTCTCTTTCCTTCCACATTTCCCAGCATTATAGTCTTCTCCAGAGAGCTAAATCTTCGCATAATGTGTCCAAAGTAAGATGTTATACTAATAGTAATACATACTGTATACCTTAGTAACACAGTAACAGGGAAATCCAAAAGAGATTATTCACTTTTTGTTAAAGTCCCTCTTCAAAGATGCATGAGGAAACAAAGCAGTCCCTGGGTAAGAGGAGAAATTATCTTATGCATAGTTAATTGATTAAGGAAGAGAAAACAAAAGTAGGAATACATAAAAATGTTTTTGCAATGATGAGAGATAAAAAGTGTTTTTCTCCCAGAGATCTCTATTGAGACTGGTGGTTTTTCATTTCTAATGGGAATTAAAATGACAGAATTGGTACAATGTACATAGGTAAAAAATGCATTAAAAAAAAATCTGACTGCACATAAGCAGTTTAATACAGCCCAACTGGCTATGATTGACCAGAAAATTAATCCTGGCACTTCTGTTGATAATCTACATCTGTTGTGGGGGGAAAAAAACAACAAGAGCCAGGAAACAAATTCCATGCTGAGAATCATGAGGTAAAAATACTGCTATTATGCTAATACATTTATGCAGATCTGGCTGACCTTCTTCTCTGGACTCAGAAGCTAAACACAGGAAATGCCAGGACTATAGGAGTGGGAAATCAAAAACACCCTATAAGACAATGGCAAACCACTTGCATACTGTTGCCAAGAAAAAACATGGATGTGTTTATATAGTCCTTGGTAGTCAAGTTTGATCTGAAGACTTCAACTATCAGTACGCCAACCACGCTGGAAGCAGCATTCCCCTAATTCCAAACCCACCAAAATATACCAAAGTACTGAGAGAGTACCAGTGCAAAATGTTGTTTTACTTTAGCTCTTAAAGCTAAATTAGAGGGTGCTCTAATTCTGGAGTTTAGGAAATGCTCCACTGGATTGCTCAATTCTTTTGCTTCAGTTCACTCAGCTGGAGATTTGTGGCTTTGCCCTCGCTCACTGCTCTTCTCTGTTATGGCAAGGGGAGAGGAGTCACACCTCATGTAGAAGAGTTCTGCACACATACAACATTAGTTGAGAAACAGTGGGCTATGTAAACACTTAACTATGAGAAAAAGGTACATTTTGGAATTTTAAGATGAGGGAATAGTTTGCAGTTCAATACAGAATTATTCAAATTGCATAGGTTTAGGAATACAATTCTACAAAGCATCTGCATTTTTCTTTATTTGTTGATGCAGCTGGCAACTCAAAATCAGCATGGTATTAGAAAAAAAATGCACTAGAAGGGGTTTTATTAAGGAAAATGGCTCACAAAAGTGCATTCAATACTTTGACTTTTTTTTTTAAATGTGCAAATTTATACCAGAACAGGATGGAACAAACTTATCAATAGAAAAGTGAGAAATCAAACTTGACAGATTCATTCATCCCTATGATTTTTAGATTAGAAGAAACAACATATAGGTGTTTAGAACTACACATAACATATAAAAAGTAGATAGGTTTTTCTTTCTTCCTTTCTCAATGGTAGAACCCAGGAGTTATCCAATAAAGTTGTAAAATTAACAAGAAAAAAGTAGCAACTCATAAACTATCGAACTTATTAGCACAAAGTGTAGTATTGGATGGCTTTAAAGGGGAGTTATCTCAACAGTGGACAGCACCACACCGATCTTGTCTGGAGTCAGATGGATCAGGTATGATTAGTGCTTGGATGGAAGAGCACCAAGGATACTAAGACTTTAGGTTTCCCTGAGAAATCAAAAACATTCTGGGACGGCAATGGCAAATCACTTCCATACTGTTGCCATGAATACCCCATGAAATCATCAAGCTCAACTTAAAGATTTTTTTTTCCCATTAAAAGGGGATCACATAATATTAATGGACATGTTTCTTTATTGTCTGTGTATAGACTAGGGTGACAGAGAGGTGCTACAATCCCCATTTGTCACACTACTGGGAATTGTGGAAACTGTAATCCCTAAACTTCCAAAACTACTAAATTAGGGAACAATGATTTCAATCTTTTAAATTAGCATACTAGGACAAGTGAGTGGCATAAGTAGCAGGAAGCCACTGAACAATTTGTCCTGGACAGCTAAGAGGATTGGTAAGGATTCATTCAGATCCTCTCTTCTTTTGGTCTGGGATCTCAAAGTTAATGAAAAGCCACTCTTTTCATTGAGGCAAGTGACCAAGTGCTTCAAAATCAACTATCATGTGGAAACAGCAATAGGGCCATCAACTTTCTATTCAACTCTCGCACAACAATCACCTGGTCCTCCTTGGCCTGTTGGGTGGAACACTTTGGTTTTTCCTCTATAGGGAATCTTTCCCAAGCCTTCTTTAGACTTTTCCCTAAAGTTTCAATTAACTTTAGTAAACCTAAAGGTTCCCCACTTCTGCCAATGCTGTATTCTTGTGAGCTGACAGAGCTGCTCTTCAATAGAAAACAGTATATGTAGCTCAGGGTTGAACTGTGGAGTCCTTGGTGCTCTCTGAGCTTGGTTGTTTGCT